AGCTTTTTGACTTGGACTGAATTTTGATGTTATGGCATTGAGCAATAAATTTCAAGTTAGGAATGCTTAAGTGGGAGATGAGCTCTGTAAGTGGCATCTTACAAAGTAAAGTTGGACTCTTGATACTCTGTAGTGTATGAACTTCAGATTCAGGTACATAGTTTGAATATTTATAGATTCCTCCTGGATTCATCTTAAATAATCAAAAATGTGAATGCTGTGGTGCTGCATTGTGGCTTCCTGAATATAAAAAGGACTCGTATCTGCCATGCTTGCAATGGCCCTCTTACACAAGTCTTATTTATAGCAAATGCAGAAAGCTTCTCAGCTGAAAATATACCTGCAGGGCCACCCCCCAATATTTCATTTTTATTCACCAAGTCATCATGTTGATCAAAACTTTGTGTTGGTTTAAAACCTGGAAGATCCAGCTCCAAAAAGAATACTACAGATAGAGCAAGTATCATGATACACCAGTTTTTTGTGTTTTTTATTGAGAACTTGAAGTGCTGCAAAGCTGAGACATGGTGGAATGTTATAAAAGATACAATGTACTTTGCAAAGTTCAAAATAGTAAAGTATCCACCAATTCTTTTGATAAGAGCAGCAAAGTCATGAGATCTCAATATATTTCTTTTCAATTTCAAACCAAGTTCCTGGCATTTTACTGAGGGTAAATCTCTTTGAGAAATAATATCAAATAATCTGAGAAGAGTAAAAAAAGCTCTGACATATAATTCCAACAGTGGAGAAGATCTCAGATGCAACCATATCTTATGAAGTTTTAAATCTACATATTCAGAAAATGTGTAGTCACTTTTACATAGCTCAAGGCTAAGTTCAAGACAGATAGAAAAGCCACCATTTTTCAAGTTCAAAGTTTCTGACCATGAGCTTTGTGCATTCCAATATAACAAGGGTGATACCCCTGATGTATGCATATACATCTTATCAACTCTCATATTTGAGTAAGCCACTTGGCCTGTCTCCTCAACCATAAATGGAAGGGCATCTCTGTTGTTTCTCAATTTGCCAACCATAGATGGAAGGACATGTGTATCACATATCATCTCCTCAACCATGTTAAATGGAAGGGGATCAACCAAATGGTTGGGTGCCAACGGGCTCAGATTGATAACAATCTCTATTAACAGTGCCAACGGGCTTGGGTTGAAATCAACCTCTATCATAGAAATCCAAGGACAAGTCCTCAGATTTATACTGGGATAAAGGTAGTTGGAAAAACTCCCTTGATCCCAGTCTAGAATATCTAAGAGATTGCTCAGTCCTAAGTTGCATATGATCAAGATAAGGACTTACCATAGTTTAAGGAAGAGGTGGCATAAAAATCCATAGGATTTGATTGGCAGAAGGCCAATGATGTGTTTTCTGGGTTAAACATATTAAATTTAAGGATATGTGCTAAAAAGAGCAAGTTACATACCTTCTGGGCTTAAAGTAGCCAGAGAACAGGTAGTTTGTTGATCTAGAATATAGAAAGATTAGCAGAGTACCTACAGAAATATAGAAATAGACACTTACATGGCCAAAAGTGACCAAGTTCAGAGCTAACACCAGTATTTCCAGATCTGAGCATCTTCCAGGTCTTGGAAGAGAAGACAGAGGGCATAGAAGTGTAGCAGAGAAAGGCTAGAAGCCATAGCAAAAAGAATTGTAGCAGTAGCATGAGTGGTTGAGTCACAATGAGGTGAACAAGGTGCCAGCAAAGCAAGATGATGGTGGTTCAAGTTCAAGAGAGAAAGTTTACCATTGTTTACCAGAAGCTTTGAAGTACCCAGGAAGTTTAGGGCAAGTTCACATTCCTTATTTGGGAACTTTTTCCCACAGTACATGAATTGTAGCCCCTTCTTAGACATTTCTAAATATACTGAAATCATGTGACCAGATGTATTTCTTATTGGAAAAAACACAAAAAGGCACAAAAAATAGCTGTTTTTGCATATATCTCAGGAACAAAGACAGCTAGTCACATTTTGTGACCACATTAAGAAACATAACAGCATGCTCTATACAACTGCTGCCAATTTCCTTTTCGGGGCTAATTTTCCCACAGTCACAGAAACACAGGCACTCCCTTAGCTCTGTTAACAAAAGATGTAGCCTCTTTGCTTAGCTTTACAAATATATATAAATAATGTCACACAGATCTTTCCTCATTGAGAAAAACACAAAATACTGAAAAAATTGGACACTTTTTGAAAATAGTCATGTATTTTGACCCATATCTACATAAGAAAGAATGCTAGTCAGATGATATAATCACATTTCATAATTTAACAACATTTTCTATATTTGGATATGGAGCCTGAACCCTGAACACAGCCCCTTCAACATTGTAGTAACAATGTATGTTATTTGCATATTTTTCTCATTGTTTTCTGATGTTTTAGCCATTTTGTGCCTTTGTTCTATATTTAGATATGGACCCTGAGCCATCAACACAGCCCCTTCAATATCATGTCAACAGAGAATGTAACTCTTAGTTTTTGGGTATTTTTTCTGATTTTCTGCCCATTTTTCAGCTGGTTTCTATATTTAGATATCAACCCTGAACCCTCAACACAGCCTCTCCAACTTCACATGGCACCACTGTGCAACATTATTTTCCACTTATTTTTTCCTAATTTCCTAATAATTGTGCTCCATTGTACAGGTGTTTTTTCTGTTTAAGGTAAAAGGTTCCCGCGGTGTTGAAAGGTGAATGAATGAATGAATGAATGAAAAATTTGCCTAAGTCCTCAGTTGATAAAGAATGAGTCTTACTCGTAAACTCGTAAGGACTCATAATACTGAAAAAATTGGACACTTTTTGAAAATAGTCATGTATTTTGACCAATATCTGCATAAGAAAGAAGGCTAGTCAGATGATATAATCACATTTCTGATATTTAATGTTGCTATACTATTGGAGAGGCTGTATTCAGGGTCCAGGATACACTTCCAAATATGGGAATCTGCCCAAATATAGCTAAATTATTGTGTACAAGTTTCTTCACTTTCCAGCTGTTTTCTCTGAGTTGTTTTTTTTTCTGTCTATATTTAGATATGGACCCTGAACACAGCCCCTTCAATATCATGACAACAGCAAATATCATTCCGATTTTTCTTCCCTTTTTTGGCATATTTTGTAATCATGTTATACAATCTATCTGGCTTTGTTCTATTTTTAGAGATGGACCCTGAACCCTGAACA